GGACTGCTGTGTCACAGTTACCTTTTTGCTCTGAGCACAAACTAAACAGCAGCTGCTCATTTTTACCCACTGAGGGAAAACGTTAACCAACAATAGGCTTTATGGTCTGAATGAAATGCAATTTCACATTTATGGAAAACCTACAACCAGCAACTGTAAGGGAAATAAACACTTCAAAGCTACATAAAGGCAGAGTAGCGTGAAAATTAAACTGAGAAGATAGAGCGTTTATTGTTTCCTTTCCAGAGGCCAAAGAGCACCTTTTGAGACTTTTACAAGCGGTTGTATCTTATTTCCTTGTGTGTGTATTTTTTTTCTGTGTGTATTAGGCCAGTGAGTCTGATGACCCCATAGAGGCGGACATGCCCGAGTCGCCTGGTGCGGAGAAACATGACAAAGAGAAAGACCGCAGAGACTCCAAGAAAGCCAAAGGTGTGCATGCTGTTAAATGGTGGGATTCATTCGTTCAGGGTGTGATTCGAGAAATAAAACGTGACTAAAAATGACTGAAAGTAGCCACAAATCATCTCATGCCAAATATTTACAGTAGCAGTAAATGACTAATATGCATGACTCCTCTAACAAAGAGCGGAAGGGATACATGAGTGAAAGCACAAAGTACAACAACAAGCCTATTTGGTCAAAGGCCTCAGCAACCTCATCTGCCCTCCTTACCCTATAAAACAATAGCTTATCAGTTTCACTCCTCCAAAACATCATGGCGATCAGCGTGCTGAGACGAATGGTGGATAACACCGTCCTGTCTCGTGTCTCCTCCACAGCCATGAAGCCCTCAACCAGCATGGACTCCGCCGAGCAGAAGAAGACCAAGCACAAGCTGAAGAAGCTCCTGACCGGCCGTCCCACCCTTCAGACCGTCAAGGACAAGGGATACATTAAAGGTGCCAAAGAAACAACAGCAACATTCGAAATGTTTTCGGTTTCATTTCTTCTGTGGAAAGTTGAAAAGATTTTACGCGGCGCAGGTTTTTGGATGTGTCTGTTATATGTGAGCGGTGTAGAGGCTCTCATCTGTGTTTTTTTTTAACCACTGCTTGCCGTTTAAAGTTAATTAGAGCTGTACATTTGGATGCATCACGTGTGCTTTGGTGTGTTTCTTTGTATTCATTTTACTGTTAAGACTTTTGGCTTAAGACATAAGAGTCCAGTTTTCACACATAAATCAGGAGTTTATGATTCGTTTCCGCCTTCTGTACCTTAACCTCTAATAAAAACTAAAAGCACTGAAGTACCGTTCTTTATTTTCTGTGTCTCCAGATCAGGTGTTTGGCTGTGCTCTTTCCAGTTTGTGTCAAAGGGAGAACACCACGGTGCCGAACTTTGTCAAAATGTGCATTGACAATGTGGAGAACAACGGTGAGTAACTTTGCTGTTAAGAGAAAATCATTCTAGTCTCTGTTTTCCTGCCTGTCATAAAAGAAAGGTGAGGTTTACTGCCTGTTGAAATAAGGTGCGACTGTGGTCTCCTTTTAGCTGATTGTGCTTTTCTGCTACTCAGACTTTAAGGTTAATTTACAGATACTAATAAACTGGTGTTGATCCCTGCAGGTCTGTCGGTAGACGGGCTTTACAGAGTTAGCGGGAACCTGGCAGTCATACAGAAACTCCGCTTTGCTATCAATCACGGTAAGTGAAACTGCCTCTGCCATTAATTGCAGAGATACCACTGAAGTGAATAATGGAGTAAAAATGAAAAGTAAAGCCAAAAAATATTCAAAACTTACTTTTTTGTAATAATAATCAGTTAAAGAGCTTTTAACACGATTTTAAAAACACGATTTGATGTGTGATACATCACCTATTTATGGAACAACACTTTAAAAAGCATTAAATATTCTTATTTTTTAAAGTAAATATTTCTTTAAACTCATGTTAAATATTGTCAAAGTTCTACATTAGGAGTACAGCAGGTAATCTGGTAATCCCTATGAGCCAAACGGAGCTCATTTTCACTTTTTTTTTCAACCCTATGATTTTTATGGTGTTGACGTTCCAAGCACACAGCTCTCTAGAAGCTCCATTGACCTTTTGCTCAAACCAACCAGACACAAGCTAAACAGATAGGAAGAGAAAGCTAAAACTGCTTAATTCAGGTCATAGATGAACATAATATTTTACATACAGTGTTATACAAGATACTTTGACTTGAATTCCTTTCTTTTGTTCTCAATAAAATACTTAAGGGGTGTTCACATGTATTTGTCACCAGATGAGAAGGTGAATCTGTCAGACGGGAAGTGGGAGGACATCCACGTGACCACAGGAGCCCTGAAGATGTTATTCAGAGAGCTGCCGGAGCCGCTCTTCACCTACAGTCTCTTCAACGACTTTGTCAGCGCCATCAGTATGTGTCTCTGTATCTGTAAATAAATGCAGTGTCACTGTAGTATCCCTTAAGTGGAATCCTGTTAACTTTTTAAACAGCTGGTTCACAGCACCCAAACAGCAAAGCCCCAAACTCAGTCAAGGACTACAGCTCCTGGGTTTTTATCCAGGGACTCATCTGTATTTGCTGTAAGGGTCTGTAAAGACAGGCAGGGTCAGCTGCAGTCGCCAAACCTCTCTCTGAAAACGCTTTAAAAATCAGTTTCAGTGAACTGAAGTGCACTTTTCCTCATCTTTGTCTCACTGAAAGTAAAGATATGTTGGATGGTGAGCTGGTGAGCTGGTGTAACTTTGTGATGGATCCAGACTTTGATGGATTTTGTCTTTTGTTCTGCAGAAATATCTGACCACAAGCATCGAGTTCAATCGATCAAAGAGCTGGTCAGACAGCTGCCCAAACCCAACCACGACACCATGCAGGCTCTCTTCAAACACCTCAGGAAGTAAGAGCAGCACACCATGTTATTGATTTTTCCCTGATTGATTTTTTCCCCTCCTAGAAAAACAAAAGTTAAATATTAAAAAAAAATCATATTCAATCATAAGAGGGCTTCATTCTCAACATGAGCAAACTCAAAGGTGTTAAATAATGGAAGAAAATAAAAAAGATTGATCTACTTGATGACTGCTCAGTTAATTAACAAATGAGTACTGAGCACTCTTTGGCTTCCATATTATCTTGCACGGTAAATAACTGACAATGGGTTTATTTTACTCTTGTTTTTCCAGAGTGATTGACTACGGCGAGGAGAACCGTATGACGACCCAGAGCGTCGCCATCGTATTCGGCCCCACGCTGCTGCGGCCTGAAACGGAGACGTTGAACATGGCGGTCCACATGGTCTATCAGAACCAGATTGTAGAGCTTATACTGCTAGAGTATGAGAGCATTTTTGGAAGGTAGATGCTACAGGATGAGCTTCTCTTTTTTTTTTTCCTTTTCCTCTCCCAGTGCAGAGCTTTTCCTAACCCAGCGTGGCAGGCCCGGCTCAGGTCAACCCGGCCCAGCCTCACCCTGCCCCGGTCTGGGCCAGCTTATCCTGAACTCTTACCAACCTGGCTTCTTTGGTCGCTGACTTCTCCGATCTTCAAAATCTTAGACCAACAAAGCCAACCGAAAATATACAATGAAAAAATCCATAACTATCGACCAAAAAGTTTGGACTCTTTGCACTTTTCAGTCTCGTTTTCTCCCGCAGCTGTATTTGTGCCACTTTACTGCAAAGGTGGCGTCCTTCTGTCCTATCACTGGATTCCTAAAACTATTATTACTTACTGGGCCAAGCTAGCCTGAACTACTGCACAGACTGACTGAGGCCAAAGGAGCAGCAGCAGGTCCAGTAGGCTGTATTTACAGATGAGGCAGCAGTATTGGAGGTTTATGATGCTGGGTGCAGCTTGTATGTACTGTACTGTAAATCTCATTACCTGTATAGTCACTCCTGTATGAACCACACTGAGGAACCAACAGAAGGAAACCAAGCTGTGGACTCTTTACCCTCGGACAGAAAAGGTGAAACATGCTGACGCTGGAACAAGAAGAGGAGGGAAGAATATTTTTTGTTGTTGTTGTTTTTTTAATTTTGTTTGTTTAGTTTTTCTTTTTTTACATTTAGTTTAAGTGGATCGTCCCCCCTCTCTTTGAATCTGCTTCTCTGTATTTTCTTGCTGAGAAACAGGACCAAGGTCCTCTGAACACATAAAGGTTATCGCCTCCGGTATTGCATCTGCACACCACCTTTCCAATCATCTAACAGTGGGCAGAACATCATCTTGGGGGGGACAAAACAAATTAACGATATTGTACAGTGTTTGTGCGTGTGCATGTGAGTGGGGAGGGTGGATGGATTCATGAATGAATGAATTAAATAGCAATATATTGTAAAAAATAGTAAATATAAGTACGCCTGGAGTGTTAAAAATATATATGATGCAAGGGAGAAATCACTATTGTGTGATCATTGTGTAACCAACAGACCTGAGAAATAAAATTATGAACTGGGATGTGGAGGTTTACCTTTGAGTCAGTACTGTTGGCGTCTAACTGAATTAAAGGCCTCAAATAAGAGATACTCTAAAGCTTTGTTCTTTGTTGATTTTGCACTTGTTCATGTATTTTAGTGACCACTGATATCATTGCATCACAACACAGAGGGCTGGGTAGGACCATTTTTTAAAACTCAGCAGCAGATGGACATGGCAATTGTGACATCATCAGCTGGTTATTAAATACTCTAGCTGAGGATTTTCAGTTTTGCTGTTTGGATCTGTGAGTGAGAAACTGAAAACGGTGCATGCTCATAATCATCTACCTGTCTTTTAGTGATCGGTAAACATCTGGGAACTGTGGAGACCAGCTGACCTTTGGGAGAGGAATGGTGTCCTATTCTTGTGTGACAGGTAGTCAACAGTCCTCGGTCGCTGCGTCAAATATTTGGTTTCATGATTGTTTCAGATTTTGTTCAGCTGATGAAAGGTCTGGACTGCAGATACCCAGACTCCTCTATGTGACGTCATGTTGTTGTAATAAAGGTGCAGTATGTGGTTTAGCATTAACTTCGTGAAGTATAAAAGCCTCTCCCTGAAAAAGACATCTGGATGAGAGCATATGTTTCTGTAAAATGTACAGCAGTGTTTGTGTCTCGCACGATGTGTAAGCTGCCAGTTCCATAGACACTAATATATGCACCCCATCCTCTTTTGGACCGAGAGCTGAGAACCCTCGTCCCTCATCTTCACTCAAGAAGGTGCAGCATCCATGAATTGTAAGAATTTGAAATTTTGGTTTGTTTGGGGGTTTTTTTTGGTTTGTTTTTTTGTTTTGTTTTTCTGACCACAGAACAGTTTTCCACTTTGCCACACGTCCATTTCAAATGAGTAACAGTCCACGGAAGATAGCGGTGGGATCATATTCACATATGGCTTCTTTTTCTTCACGGTAAAGCTCGAAAACTTCTTTTTTGGTGGCACAATGGTCTTTACCCCTGTCCTCCCACTTCCCTCATAGTTTCTGGAGGATTTCCTGAAACACGCACCGATTTCCATGACACACTCATGCTTGTTTTTATGCACTGGGGCTCGAGGGCCCAAAGATCCATTTTGCATCTCCTTGCTCACAGAGATTTCCCCAGATTCTCTGAATCTTTGGATGATATGTAGTATAGGTGATGAGATGTTCAAACTCGCCACATTTTTGTTGAGGAGCATTATTCTGAAGCTTTTCCATAATTTGTAGATCCATTTTTGGTGGAAGGATGGGTGTCTGCCCATCTGTACTTTTGAGAAACTTTGTTGCTCTTTTTAAGCCCAATCATGTCAGGGACTTGTTGCCAATTAACCTTGTGAATATTCTTCCAGCTGTTTCCTTTTTGGTACTGATTACCTTTGTTAACACCATTCCAACGTTTTTGAGACGTTGCTGCAATCGAATTTAAAATGCGGTAACATTTTCTTCAGTCTTAAAATTGGAAATGTTCTAAGTTTAAACATTACAAGTCATTGCATTCAGCTCTTATTTACATTTCACACAAGATCCTTTTTTGGGGTGGGAATTGGGGTTGTACCAGTTAAGTAGGCACACCTACCCGGCTTTATTGTCCTTTTTTACTCTAATGTAGACTATAATTTGCAAAATAAATTACATGTTGCATTAAATAAGACTTAAAACTTGGAATAAAAACCATACACTCATCAGGAAATTGTTTCCTGAGCACTCAGATCAATGACGTCAAAGGGTTGTTTTCCCAGTAGGCTTCTATCCAATCAGCCTTTTGGCTCTGCCCCCTGCAGGCCATTAGAAAGACTGCAGGGTTAAGACACTTCCACATCAGAGTCTGTTCTCAGACCCAGAAAGTTGATAATCTTTTATGAACAGTCTGTATTTATTCTTTATATTTGATTCAATCTCATTTTCTGTGAGATTAGTTTTATTCTCAGAAGTTCATATATTTTATTTATCATAGATTTTAATTCCTCCACAGTGTCAAGAATGTGACATTTAAACTCACATTTTCTGCGTATAAAAATGTCAGAATAGGTATGGCCTCAAATTGTGGTCATAAATATTTTGTACTTCCAAATCAGTTTTGTATGTGTAAAAAGAATTTGTGTGTGCATAAAAAAGATTTGTATGTGTAAATGTGTAATGTGTATGTGATTGGATTGTTAAATTTGTGATTGACATGACATTGGCCAATCAGATGAAAGGAAGAAAAATAGGGGTCAGAATCCGTACTTGTAACTTGAAACTTGAGTGCAGAGTTTCACACGTATTTTTTGGCTAAGTCCACACACAAATCTGTTTTTATGCACACACAAATCCTGATTTACAAATACAAAACTGAAGTACAAAATATTTATGACCACAATTTGAGCCCATAAATAGGCCAGGGCAGGGCTTTTTACAGGAGATATTTTGACTTTCTGTTGCAGCAAAACAATACGTAACTAATGATTTCAACAATGGCTGCTTTTGATCATGGAGCCAGCAGGCAGTGTGCACAGTGGGGTTATAGAAGCGGAGCACTGTACTGCAACAAAGCCTTAATTAAGGTGATGAATCACACCCGTGAATATCCTGCTAATGAGACACACCTGGTGGAGAGGAGTGAAGAGCCACAGACCTGCTTTATTTTCCTTTTTATTTCAAATAGTTTAGGTTGTCTTGTTTTTTTTGCACTTCTGCAGGCTTCAGGATTTCATGCTGATTAGTTTTATAATTCAAAACCTCTGCATGACAGCAACCCTGAGGGGAAGTTATCTACCAGAAGCCAGAGGTGTAGTCACACCTCCCATCGCAGGACTCACGGAAGCAGACACGTGTGAAATAACGTGGAGATCAGACAGATCCATGCAGCTCAGAAACTGTGACTCTGCCGATATGATGTGTAGGCTTGTACAGACATCCAGCTCACGACCTGCGAGAGCATTTCATGTCAGAAACTCCAGTCCTCAGACAGAACGCTTTTTCCACAGAAACTGAGCGGATATTTTTATATATGCTACTTTACTGTCAAGAGAAATGATTCCAGGAGTAGGTCATGTACAGTCTGTGTACTACTCAGCAGGGAAATAAACATAAGAAGTTTTAATTAGAAATATATCAAGGTCATCGAGGCTGACACCTCTGCTTTGTAGTCACACATTGGATGATTTGTGTTCGCACTAATCAGTGTTTAAAAAAGGATCAACATGCACACAGATGCAGTCGTCTTGCTCCACTGTTTGCTGGAAAACAGAAGGAAAAGATACTGTCCATGTGACACGTGCAAATAACATCTAAAAATGAAAAGGGCAACAAAAAGGACTCGTGGTTGTTTTTTTTTTATGAAAACATGCATGAGCCAGAGGTTGACTCATGCATGAAGGACATGTATGAACAAGTGCGTAGATTTGGTTGTGGCATTGGTGGGGACGGATGATTCAACCACCGAACTCTGCCCTGTTTCTTTTTTTTTTCCTTTTTGTCTTTGCTTCTTGATAAAAAAAAAAAGAGAAATATACTTGCCTACATATGCTATTCTGCAGGCTTTTAAACCATTTAAAATTACAATTCATAGTTGTATATGTGAATTATATAATGTTAAATTACTATTAAACAAATGACTGACTAAAGTATTTTAGGCTTTAGTTTACTTCCACATTCCATATAAATCAGGTATCATACAAAAATAAAAATAGCTTCAAATACAGTCATGACAATAAAAGAATATGACTTTAAGGACTTAACAACATTACTTTAGTTATAGTACACCAACATCTCTGATACATTAGCACTAAGGGAACACTGAATGACCATAAAACTACTCATCTAAGATTACCACAAAGTAAAAGATCTCTCAGCAAAATTATGAAACATTTTAGGCACTATTGCCCCGATCAAATCAGTGAGCTGGGATTTTTTACTCTAAACATGAACTACTGTTACAGCAACAGACATGAACTACTGGTGTCCCACACAACAACTCAATGTCCACTATGTGAAGGGGCCAAACACATCTCCTCTCGTTAACTGAGATAAACTGCTGGCATATTTGTTTTACATCTATACTGTCCAGTCTCTCCTGGTGGACATACAGCAGCATTGTTTAATCTCATTTGAGTCATTGTTGACCTTAGCCATCTTTTTAGTCTTCTGAGAGCACTGAAGCTTCTTTCAGCCCCAGTACATGCATTTTATCCTCAGATTAAAATTATTATTCTGTGCTTGATGTGCCTCACCTTTGGCTCTTCCCCTCTGACTGCACTAGGACATATTGCCACCTGATAAAATAACACATGGATTCGTGCCATATAAAAAGTGAGACATGTCATTTCAGATTCTTTGCCAAATATACACTAATGAAACAATTTACATCAGCAGCCTAACAATTTTTATGATAATAAATACTAGTTAATCTATAGCACCAAATCATCAGTCAGTCACCTGTGACCTCACCTCTTCACCTCTGAGCTACAACATGGCAGAGCTGCCTCTGTCACCTGACAAATAGGACATACATGACAATAAGAATAAAATGTGGAGCTGCTTCAGTGTTTCTGTCAATTTGTGCAGATCTTGACTCATCAGTAATGTTTGTAGGGTGAGTGCATTTTAAAACAATTTGTGCAAACTGCACTACAAGGTGGATATTTGCAAAATCATGACTACCTCATGATATTTTGTCTCAAAAATCAACCCTATGAATATGTCAGTGCCATTAGGATGAAATTATCGTGTCACCAACATTTTAACGTTAGACATATAATTTTAACAGCCTTTGTAAACTAATATCCTGGCTGCTCGAGGCTGCCGTTTTCTCTGACAGTTTCAATCAAAATTAGAAATGTTACTCTGAGACTGAGGTAACTAATAGTGCTGCCTGTTGTGCAGTTAGTTTACAAAACACGTTATTCATGGTTACATACAATTTTAGACTGATGTGGGCCAAAGCCTAGCATAGCCTGTAACGTTATTGTGACGGACACATTTTATGAGTGAACTTGGCTTTAAGTGACTTGCAGGTTTCTTTGAAAAATACTTTCTTGTATCCAGGTTCTTCCTTGTTGCTGCCATCCTTGCAGGTCCTTGCAG